ATACACATATATATATACATATATACACATATATATATACATATATATACATATATACATATATACACATATATATACATATATACACATATATATATACATATATACACATATATATATACATATATACACACATATATATATACATATATACACATATATATATACATATATACACATATATATATACATATATACATATATATATATATATATATATATACACATATATATAAATATACACTAAAATAAACTACTACTTACTACTTGTACTACTATTCCTACTTATAGGTTTTCACTTATCACGGGAAACCCCTGCGATAAGTGAGGAACTACTGCATTGACCTTAAAACAAATCTGAAGTATATGCAGTAGACTCAGCTGTAGTTACTGTGATTTGCCCTAATTATTTAATTATATCTCCTCTTGGGGGGGAAACAAGGATAAAAGTTTGATCAGATTGTGTAAACTTATGGAAAACCACCATGAGCCACAATGAGAGAGTAAATTGTATTTCTGTAATGTGTGATCTTACTCTTCTAGAAGGTTTTCTCCATCGATGTATCTGAGGCTACGAAGGAATGCCAGAGAGCTCAGCGTGTGCGAATTTGTGATCCGGACATAACCCGTTACCCTCTGGATCAAACCAGTGAAGCTCTCCAGCTCTGCCATGATGTCATCTAAACACACAAACACACTAATCTTACTGGCTTTCCTCTCATGTCAGGCTAGAACAGTTCAACCATGAATAAACTCAGCCTTATTTACCGATGTGTTACGACAAAAGCTATATTTAAAAATCATGATCAGGAACTTTTTTCAAAATGTAAAAATGTTACAACCAATTCCCAAATGATGAAGTTCCGCTTTGACTTATCCCACCTTCTGATTTTAAACTGTATGCAACAAACATTTTCTGTAATAATTATGTACACACACAGTGAAACTCTTCAGCTGTCCTTGATGTAGAAATACCAGGAATAATTGTGTTGCTGCTGTGAAACTCTGCGGTACTCACGGCCTCTGCGGATGGTGATTTGCAGGTTGCCTTTGATAACGGTGCATCCTTTGAGAGACTGGGCAGCATCCATGGAGTCGATCTCCTTCCCCTCACACACTTTATCGCACAGCCCATCGCAGGCTGTACACTTCATACTGGAGACAAACGAGGACCGTGAATGTAGTTATTTTATTAACAGACATTTAGCGGTTTGCCGACTAAAGATGTTTTTGTTGAATTTTACAGGCTCGTTAATGTTGACATAAAATAATTGGCTGCTCAGCTGTTCTGTGCTGAAACAAAGTTTCTTGAAGAAAAAGCACGTCGGCTTGCTTCTGAGTGAACTCACCTGCTGGCGGCTGCAGATCGTGTGAACCCAGATGGACATTCAGGAAGGCACTCTCCTCCGTGGATGACGAAGGTGTCAAAGTCCGGGAGGTGGACTTTGGAGCAGAGATCTTTGCTGATGCACCGCCAGCCTTCGAACCTGTACGTGTGTGGAGGGCAGTCAGCCACACAGCGCCCTTCGTGGTAGTAGTGCACGCACGCGGCACATGCAGTGTCGCTGCCAGGTACCGTGCAGCTGCCCAGACACTGAGAGTGGCAGCACTCACCCTCTGCTGTACAAGCTCGCCTTCCACACTTCTCTGGGCACTCTGGTGGAAAGACACAGAGAAACGAGGAATTATTAATGATGCAGACAAAAAAGATTTATATATTGAGCTTTAACCACTATAAAAAACAGCAATGAAGAAGCTTTAGTTAGGATTCAGGTCTGCGATTCTAAACAAGCCGATCTCACATCCACACAGATATACATGATAGTGTGGGGCTGTGCAGACGTGTGGTCATTTATGCCTCGGAACGTAAATGTTGTAAACCACTGGGAATATTTTATGGTTAATGCTCATTAACAGTGGTGTCTGACTTTCACGTTTCAGTTTGCTCACACACTGCTGCTTAAAGAAGTAAAAAAGTAAAAGACTTGTGAAAAAAAAATCTAGAAAACCAAAAATAGTTTATGAAAATAAAGCCTTATATGTACAAGTGCAGTCTAAAACTGCTTTTTATCAGACTCAGTTACTAGTTTCACACTGGGCTCATCACTGGGCTCATCACTGGGCACACTCATCAGCTTTGTTTGCTTGTAGAGAATAAACCTAACACCTGCACACAACATAAATATCTGTAAATAACAACGACCCATATAAAAATACTGCTGTTTAGAGAAACCTTCATCTTGAATTCTACAAATTATGATTGTGCCATCACCTTGTGACAATACTGTGAAAACTACTTTATTCTCTTCCAAACTAATTAAAGGAGACATTAGATTTAATGACAACATCATAAGGATAATTACAATACATGAAAAAAACAGTTTGTCTCACTCTGGGCATGTGGATCAAACATTGAACTTACAGACAGAAAATAATGATTTCTTATTCCTAAAACAGACATATTTATTAACGTATTGCACCAATGATAACTGGATTGTCTTAGTGGGCTAAATTAAGTTTTAATATCTGAATAAGTCTGAATCAATGAGCCTAATTTCATTTTTTTATGTTTTCTAGAAAACTGACCACATACTACTATGTTTTGTAGGGATGTACAATATTATAGGCATGGTATCGGGATCGGCCAATGTTAGCAATAAAGTTAAATATCATCGGCCATCAAAATAACTCACCGATATAAAAGGCTTCTGTTTTAAGTTAATTTCTAATTTAAGAAACTGTCAAGTATATCTATTAATCCACTACTACTTATGTGCTTTTCACTTGTTGCTTGTGAACAGGTTGAGTTTAGATTTGTGAAAATTTACAAACTTGCACTGTTCTAGAGTTGTCATTGTGTTAGAGAGTAAATGTCGTGAATAAATTTGACATTAAACATAATCCAAGTTGACGTGTTACATCATTTTCAGCTCCTTTTTGGCATCTGCATTTGGTAGCAGGTCAAACTGACAAAGACCATGCAGAATAATGTAGTACTTTAATTCCACAGCAGAGAAAGCTATGGAGGCTCTGTACGTAGGTCTAGGGGGAAAAATATTGGTATTGGTATCGGCTAAATAAGTTTTAACATATTGGCATATCGGATGTCGGCCAAAAATCCAATATCATGCAGTGTTTTGGATAAAATGCATTTTAAAGTAATTTTTAACTAAACACAGCCTTCTCTGAAAATAGCATAAACCCATAAAATTAAGTGATAAAACAACTAAAATGTCAAACCTACAGCTTCACTGTAGCTTAGATATGCAAATCTGAAAATATAATTCTAGTCTGGCCAGAAGAAAAAAAAAAGACATTTCAGCAAACAGATTGTAAATATACATAAATGTGCAACAGTTTGTAAATTCTTAGTTTGATTTATGATATAGTTGGAAAGAAAAAGGCCAAACTGTTTGTAGAACTATTGGATAATTGAATATTTAATTTTTTGCCAGATAAAACAAGTTTTCTGGAGGCAGAACCCGAGACTCTGGTGGACATTTTCTCAAAATTACAAACAATCTGAGCATAAACTAACTGCAAAATAAAATATCTTTGCATGTTTCTTGTTCTTGTGAGTGCACGTCCACATCTTGCAACCTGCAGACATGTTTTTCCTCTTACAGTGAAGAGACATTACCCTCCTCTAAAGGCATGACAACGAATGCAACCAGTCAGATTTCAGCTTGAATAAACCTCTGGCATGACATTACAGCCTTCAGGCCTGAAGATAGGATTTGCATTTAGTGGAGAATGGGCGACATCACAAACATGCACACCAGCCAACACTGGAGCTGAAACACCAAAAGCCACTAGCAAGGAGGGCGTGCAAGCTGCTTCAAATCCAAACCAAATCATTAACACATTGTTTACGGCATCTAAAAATTTAAATATAACAAACTAAACCATATACAGCATGTGGCAGCTTTTAATTAGCATGGCTTTGACCTCAGAGACACATTTCAGATTAATTAAAAATATATAAAAAGTCTCTATTTCAGATTTTCCACCATGTGCTTCTGTAAATATTATCTCCAGCTGGCGCGACATACGTTTAAATGAAAAGATACTGTAACTGATGGCAGGAAATCTGATTTGAGGTGAGCCAAAAGAATAACCCAACACCAAGCACAACATGAAGCCACACCTTTTGTTGTTCCTCTCAACAGCAGAGCCATTTAAATAAGGCATGATGGAGTTACAGGCTAACAAAGCTTGTTTTAATAGTTGACACGCACACCTTAACTGTTAACCCACAGGTGAGCTTTTCACTTGGCTTTATTGTCTAAAAAGCTAACAAGTTTGTGTGAGTTAGTATTTTTGTCTACAGGAGGTAGAGATATCTCGGGCAAAAACAAGTGAATTAAATAATTATATTAAGTTATAATAATAAAATAATAAATAAGGACGAAGTCCTCCAGATGGGGGACGAAAGCTTTCTTCACTTAAAGAAACTGGTCCAGATGACATGACTTAACCATTTTGTTGTTATCTACCTGGACTACTGAGCTTACAAACCTTTCACTGAACCACTTTGGCCTTGGTTGTCCCCAGGCTGTTTCTGTGAGTAACAAGTTGGCCATCTGGCCGAAAACATTTGAATGTTGCAAATGATGATTGATTGTTTTGGATGGGTGTGTTTTGTTTGTATGTGTTAAAAGCCTATTTCTGAGATTCCAACAGGAGGTTGTCTTGAAACACAGCAGTGAAGGCTTCCTATGGGACAGATCTGGTTGGCAGTCCATAGACTGACGAAGTCCTCCGAATGGGGGACAAAACGTTTCTTCACTTAAAGAAACTGGTCCAGATGACACGAGTTAACCATTTTTGTTGTTGTCTACCTGGATGATTGAGCTTACAAACCTTTTTTTTGTGTGTGGTTTATATTAAGTTAGGCCTGTCGCGATAAACAATAAATCAATTAATTGAATGATAAATGAAAATTATCGACCTCATTTTCATTTATTGCCTTTATCGTTTCTTTGTGTCTCTCTTTCTACTGAAGACACTGGATGACAAAAGGCTCAACTCCGGTGCTCTTCACTGACCCCTCCCTTTCTCTTTAAAATCTGTTTTTAACCATCCAAAATCGTGTTTTTGGATCATTAAAAACAGCTAAACTGAGAAGCTAAGCTACAGGTTAAGCTAACAGACTGACATCGGCGAAAAAAACCTGTCTTGTCGAAGCTTCAAAATTCCCGGTTGAAATCTGTGCCTTCATCTAAAAAGTTGTTCTTCTCTACAAAAAGAAGCTGAGAACTTGTTTACTGATTTTTTATTAAAAGTTTTGTGTGAAAAATGCTATGCTAAAGAGCTCAAATCACACCGAGCGTCCGCCATTTTGAGAATCGAAAAAAGGAACGAGAAAGCCCATGTCACGTCAAGGGGCCTCTTTTCCCTTTTTCTTAAAGAGACACGTTGCTTGTTCCCTCACTATACATCCTTTGGTTCAAATGGTCTTTTACAGCCATCCAGTGGTCAAAAAAGGTACTACACACAAAAGTTAAAAAATTCTTCTTAAATTTGACAATAATTACTAATTATTGTCAAATTTCAAACAATATTATCATTTATCGCAATAATTTCCGAGACAATCGCCCAGTAAAATTTGCTATCATGACAGGGCTATATTAAGTTATCTTCTTAGGTTGGTCAAATGCTGAATACAAAGAAGAATCTGCTTAAAGAAGACTGAAAGACAAGAGGGAGGAAGCACAACTTACCGCCTCCACAATAGGACTAAAGAGACGCACACAACCAGTAGCTAAATTTAAGAGCTACTGGATCCAAAATTGCCTCTATTACAATGTTTAAAATGGGTAAACTAATGCAGAATAAAGTGGATAGTAAGGGTAAATAGTAGAAACATGAAGTCTATCATACTCAAAGGTAAAATATAACAAAGTTGTAGCAACGTGCTGATTATTAGAATATCAGACAAAATATTTCTGCAACAGGAAGGTTACTGTTACCTTCATCAAATTTCTTCATATGACACGTATTTTTCTCAACACATTTTGAAAAACAAATCTGTTTCTAACATTTTTATAGATAATTTCTTAGAAGAATGCTATAAAATTTGGTGGTTGAATTGTGTTTAATTTAAACTGCCATGTCCAATAAAAGGTATATTTTTAAAACTCGGCCATCTTTCTTAGGTAAAAACCATCAGATGACCCTCTAGCCCGCCTCATGACTGACACAAATACGAAGCAAAACCTGCAGACTGCACGGTCCCACCAACCATTCAGCAGACTGTGCTCAGCAGGAGAAGACCAGTGCTGCATTTCACTGGCACAAAATGTTCTTTCCCCTCATACGAGCCCCCTCCAACCCTCTGACTCCATCTCATCCTCTGACCTCTTCCGATAGGAGCTGGAAAGCTGTAATTTTGCAATGTGACAACGTAAAGCCTCGGGTCCAGAAAGTTGAGCAGAAAGAGAGAAATCTCTGTATGAAGTTTGGTGTGGGCTCGAGCTGTCGCCTCCTAAACACAACCCTGACTAACAGTGAAGGTTGGACTCACTTTTAGGGGTCAGCGAGTGTGCAGCGGTACACATCAGCATTCCACTGTACTTCTGCAAAATAATGGATCCCAGCTTTTATTCTCCTTTGTGCACACTACTAAACA